AATACTGTTTCTACACAGAATGTGCGATGAAATCGGCCTGCAATACTGTTTCTACACAGAATGTGCGATGAAATCGGCCTTCAATACTGTTTGTACACAGAATGTGCAATGAAATCGGCCTGCAATACTGTTTCTACACAGAATGTGCAATGAAATCGGCCTTCAATACTGTTTTTACACAGAATGTGCAATGAAATCGGCCCTCAATACTGTTTCTACACAGAATGTGCAATGAAATCGGCCTTCAATACTGTTTCTACACAGAATGTGCAATGAAATCGGCCTTCAATATTTCAAGTGATACTTTGTAAACGACGACTTTCGCTATATTCGATTTTCACGTTTAGTTTATACCAATTTTTGTTTTATATTTACATAAAATGCTGAAGAGACTGAATGCCTCAAATATTTTTGAATTTTTACTAATGTTTAGTTAAAGTATGCGTTTCTTGAAAATAACCTTGTTCTTCTTCTTATGTTTTAATACTTTAAAAATATGGTGCACGATGGCTCAGTGCACTTTGAAAATAAATCACAACACACGTAGATAACTAACACTAAAAGAGGCTGTTCTTACATGAACATATCTTGTTTCGTACTTAAGACTGCTTACTAATGAAATAATCCTTAAATTCCAGTACAGCTACGTCACGTTCGCAGTATTGGTTAATGGTTTAACTGAATATCATGTAGTATTCGTACTTGGAGTACCGACGGTGTAACAAGAACTTTGTTCCTGAGTGTTTTGGGGAATACTACTTGGGATGTAAACGACACATGTTTCTGTGTTTTACAGATTATGTAAAGCCATTTTGATATTTATCGCCTGATTTGCAAAAAAAAAAAGAAGTTAAAATACGATTATCAAATCTACCCTAGAAATTGACTAGAATTGTTTAATTGTGTTTCAGAGACAGCGCGAACCTTGAACCTGTGCTATTGAAATGCTTTGTAGTTACCAGTTGTGCAAGGTACACAATGCGAACGATGTGGGATATTTGATTTAAGAAAACACGGAACAATATTAGCGAAAAAGATGAAAAATCATCGGAAAATGAAGAAGATGGAGTTTAGAGTAAGGAAAACAAACATTGGTGCATTTTCATCATTACTTTCCTTATATTTCAGTGATTTTCATCATTACTTTCCTTATATTTTTTTTAATCGGGAATCAATAAGGAGTATCTTCAAGGGAAAGTTATATAAGTGAAGTTTAGTTAGATCTTAAGATGATCGGGAAGGAAACCAGAAGAATAAAAAATAAGAAGGATCAACATCCTGATAAACAAATAAAAATAAAGAATAATATGTTTAATGTAAATTAGGAAGATTGTGATTCATAACTTAAACATAAATTTAAAACAAAATTATTCACTTTTCCAGAAATAATGAAAATAATGTGTTAATAATGAACAGACTATGGTGAAATGGGTACCAGCTGTCTAGTTCAGGGTGACACCTGTAGACAAAGTCTTGGAGGACTAATCTACAAAAATAACACAGATGGAAGGACAACATTTCGGAAGACTTCCTTCTT